GCCTGACAGGCAGTCCTGTCAAGCAATGCCAGGCAGCACAAAGAAGACATTGGCAAAGTCAAATCCTGAATCAAGGAAGAGACTAAGACCTGGGGCTTTCTGTGAGACATCTCATTTCTCTCAACCATGAAGTCAAGAAAACAGAAAATCAAAGGTAAAATTGGATCCCGAGGATTGGCTAAATTTTGACATGGGTAAGATCTTTGCTTTTCCAAAGAAAACCAGAGCAGTGATCAGGAAGAGCAGAGACAGGATGGAGACATGGGAGGATTTGAAAAACTAAGGACCTTCGGAATCGTCCACCCTCAAAGAGCCCCCTCTGTCCCTGAAAACCTCTCTTCTGTCTTCTGCAGCACTTGGTAAAGATGGTGATTCCTTTGCCTTGTCTGTAGGAAACACCCTGCTGCAGAACATCAATTTCCCGTGTGTACTTCCCTCTGTGGTGTCCAGGTCTAGTGCATTTATATCTCAGCCTATTTCAGAAGAAACTTGCATCAGTTTACCATCACTGTAATGAGATTCCTAGAGCCAGGTACTTTATAAAGAAAAGAGGTTTACTCACCACATGGTTTTGGAGGCTGATAGTCCTAGATCGGTGGCTCCATCGGTTCGGCCCCTGGTGAGAAGTGTCAGCTGGTGTCACAGTGACAACATGTATGAAAAGGAGAAGGCAGAGCACAGGGCGAGGCCAGGCTTACTCCTAACCTGCATCCCTTCCAAGGGTGATGCTCCCCTGTGACCTGATGACCTCCCATGAGGCCCCACCTCTTAAAGGTCCCACTACCTCATAACATTGTCATCTGCAGACCAAAATTCCAACACACAAACCTTTAGGAGAGACACACTATACCCAAGCCACACCCAAGAGTCAGTGACAAACCCAAGCCAGGGAGGAGAAGGGTTAGAAACCCACATAACTTCGGGAGTTTTGTTTTGCGGTCCTGGGAATAAATCCAGGGCCTTCACGCTGAGCTACAACTTCAGCCCTTTTGTCAAATTTTTTTTTTTACTTGAAATAAGGTCTCACTAAATTGTCTAGGCTTGACTTGAACTCGCAATTTCCCGCCTCAGTTTTCCAGAGTGCTGGGATTGCAGGTCCTCACCACCATACTTGGATCAGTTTCAGGATTTTCCTTAGTTTTACTCATAACTTTTGGGAAAACATCTGTTGGAATGGAAGGTTAGGCTGTTTAACAAAGGACAGAAGAACATCTTTTTGGGCAGAAGTTACTGATATAGATGCTGGTGACAGGAAGCTGGATGTATATGCCAGTGTAGGAAGTGGGAGTGACTTCTGAATCCCACGAGACTGACTACTTGGCCCCAGATGATTGGTCCCAGTGTTCTGAGTCTCAGTTGTCCATCGAGTACTGGTGTCTAGGGGCCAGCATTAGAAGTAAAGATGTCTGAACTGAGCTGTTCTCCACGTGTGATTAGGCCATGATCCCAGACCTCTAGCTTTCTTAGATCCAACCCATTTACAACCTCTGATTTCCTACAGAGACTGTGATTTCTTTAATAGCCTTCTGTGAATTTCCTCTCCAATGCTGTCAATTGCAACTAGGGATTGACCAGGCCTTCTCATCTGAGATTTCCTTTTGGTGTTGCATATAGGATAGGCCAGTTCCAACTATATATTACCCTCCCTGGAAAGAAGCAGCTTTGAGAAGGACTCAACATTACATAGCTCTTCCACAACAATATTCCTTTTATTAATATTAATCACAGTTACGAGGTCTTATCCAGCAGAAAGAACAATTTGCATCAGGTAGAACTACATACAAAGACGTAAAACAATGAAACACACACACACACACACACACACACACACACACACACACACACACACACACACACACACACACACACACACACACACACACACACACACACACACACACACACACACACACACACACACCAACCACCAACCCAGCTAATCTCAACCCATCAAAGCTCTGAACGTGTCTTCAGTTTTGATCATCAGTGCTTAGGAAGAACATACACAGAACAGACGCAGCACAAGGTTGGCTTTCGTGGTCTTAGAGCATTCACAGAGCAGGAGATTCACCCTTGAAAGCAGCTAGACATGTAAACTCTCTGAATGCCTGGCGTTTAGGCTTCCTGCCTTCATGGCAGAGGCTGCTCAAAATTCCCTCTGAAGCAGGTGGGTCCTATCCCCCTGGCTGGACAAGCTGTGTGTGTGAAGAGTAGGTTGGCTTCTAGTCTAGGTCCAACTGTTCTTTATGGTCCTCTCAGAATAACTTGGCTAATATTGACTTCACAAGGGAAATGTAAAAATATCTCTCTTCCTTCTACCTTTCTTCCTGTCCTACCCTAAGTCCTCTGGCCAGACTCCAGCGAAGCCCAATGCTGCTCAAGGGTCCTTGGCCGGGTGATAAGCTAGGTACCCAATGCTTGGTGGGAAGGAGCCACTGTAGACTCCAAAAGCCTTTCCTTCACTTTAGCTAACTTAAGTAGGTCCCTCCATTAGTGAGTGAAGAGTTTGGATTCCAGCAATTTGCTGGTATCCTGAAGTGTCTTAGAAAGACGGAGGCTATAGCTTAAAAATATTAATGCCTGGGAGTTTGGAAACCATGACAACCACTCTGTTCTTGGAACCCATTTCAAGAACAGAGGCCTCTGCTCAAAGCCACTCTCTGCTTTTCACAGGGTTCGCTGTGTTCATAGTTGCCCTAATTTCTGAGTCTATGTCCGCAATGAAGCTTTTGTCCTTAAAAGAAAAAAGACAAGTGGACTGGCTGATGTTCCTTTGTGTTCGACCCCTCCCGTGCCCATGTCTCCGGGGGAAGGGAGAGGAAGTCACTTTCATCTTCCGGCTGGCTCAGCCTCAGAAAGAGGGTGCTGTGTTTCCAATACTCTGGTTCCTGCATTCTAGGTGGGCAGAGGATCTGCACTAAAGGAGCAGAAGGGGTGCTGGCCAGTCTGCTCTGAGCCCAAGGGCTAAGTGCTTAGGAGACTTCTCCTGGGAATTTATTTCTGTTGGTGACCTTGAGGGGTTGCCCGTGAGGGAGACTGAGGGAGGAGAGGAGAGGAGAGGAGAGATTTCCCTGATCTGTATGTCCTTGACAATCCCACAGAAGGAATATCCCTTCAGTAGGCAAAACCAAACCCTGTAGTTCCATGACACTTTAAGATTCTAAAGAAAGCCAGTGTCTCCCTCACAAGCGAAGTGAAAATGGTTAGATTATCACCAGAGCAGATGCAGATAATGAGATGAAGAGGAGAGAAAGGAACAAGGCTTCAATGGGAAGAAGGAGGCTCATGGTCCCGGAGAAGTCTGGTGCTGCCTTTCCTGGGGTCTGCAGGGTCTTGGTGCTAGCCCAGCCCCACATCCAGTGACATCATCACCACGAATCCCAGGATGGACGCCCAGGACGCCAGCTTCCCGTTACCACTAGGAGAGAATGACAGGAAGAACAGTAAGACCTCAGGGTCTCCAAGACCTGGTCTAGGCCAGAGGCCTCCTCTGCAGCGTGCAGTTCCAAAGGGAAATAAGCCTCATTCATCAAGCGAGCAGAGGCCCTGCTTAGTATCACCTGTGTCTCGACGCCCCCTGTCCTTTCCTCTCCGTCCATCCCAGGGAGCACGGGGGTAGGGGAATGACTCTGGGAAGGGTGAGGAGGAGCAGATGAGGCAGTGGGTCCTGGGTGGTAGGAGGAGGCTGCGCCAGGGGCAGACAAGAGGACAAGCTCCCCACCTGATCTGGGCTTCTGGGATGATGTCGTCCATGACCACATAAACCATGGCGCCAGCAGCAAAGGCAAGCGCATAGGGCAAGATGGGCTCAGCCAGCACCACAGCAAAGGCACCAAAGACCCCAGCCAGGGGCTCCACCATGCCGCTCAGCTGTCCATACCTAGGGATGGAAGGGACAGAAACACAGGCCACTGGAGGCCTCCCACGTGCTTTTGTTCACAGACGAGAAGAACTGGGTACTCTTCAGTTTGTACAATTCCTTCCTTGGATTTGGCACCCCAGGAAAATGGGGATTTCATGTCAAGCCCAGGCAGGAGTGAGAGAGGAAGAAACAAGTTTATCTCAGGGTCTGGATGTCACCATAAGAGCTCCCTGCCTTCCCCTCTTCTTCCTGGTGCTTCAGCTATATGAAACGACAGTCACAGTCCTTGTATTCATTAAAACAAACTCTATCAAACCTTGCCCTGTCCTTACCCAAATCTCCTATTCAGCGATCACAAAATAAGCGTGTACATAAACTAAGGCCTAAGGCCCTGAAAAATAAAGGCATTTTAAGATTGCTATTAGTAGGCTATTTAAGCACCCTTAGCATATATTGTAGAGTCGTGATCATTTTATCTAAGAAGTATCTGAGAGAGCCCTGATCACAGGGCAGAAAACCTTCTACATGTTGGGCTTCTGGCCTCAGTGTCACCACTGATGGTCCAGGTGACTGAAGATGGCCGTCTGACTCCCTAGCCCACAGCTCCTTCCCTTGAAAGTGGGACATGGATGTTGAAGGACAGTCAGGGAACAGACTAGAAGGCTGTCAGGGAAAGGGGAAAATCAGTGAGTGCAATGGTCATCATCGCTGCATGCTGGTCTTCACACTCGTGACCATATGACAGGAGCCATGAGAGTGACTCCCGGGGCAGGTGGTGGCAACATGTCACCTGACGCATGGGATGTTTAAAGCACAGACCCAAGGGGGAGATGAGCTAACACTGCTGGGCTTGGAGAGGTGTCGAAGTAGGGCACAGCCACTCCAGCTGGGGTGTGTAGAAGGTCAGGAGGTAGGATTTTTGCTTGAGCTTCCCCAGCCTTGGGGGACAATATTCATTTGCGTTACGTGAATCTGGATAAAGCCCCAGATTGCCTTCCAAGAAGTGACTGGTCTTGCAGAAAGCAGCTTACACAGTACATGAGCCGGGCCCTGGACACCAGACATGGCCTTGCCTCTGGTGTCGGCGCACTGGGGCACTCACCAGAAAGCTCGCCAGGTGGAGAAGCCCGCCCCTCGCAAAGGGAGGCTGACAGCCAGGCCCTCTGGGAAGTTCTGGATTCCAATTCCAATGGCCAAATTCCTGAAAAATCAAGAAGGCAGGTGAAGCTCTTATCTGCAGCTGTGAAACCACACAGAGGAGGAACAAAAGCCTTTCTTTGGTGCTAGGGAGCTGGTTGGGGACCTGTTGAGAGGCAGAAGAAAACGGTCAGGACTCACATGTAGGAGGACAGCACAAGTTGCTGGCAGGAGCGACATGGATCTGTCTCCCCATTAGTGTCCCGGGGTGGTGACACTACAGTGCCACGGTACAGCAGAAAACACACTGGCTGGGCATCAGGCTGGCTGCACCACTCTGCCCAAATCATTTCACTTTTATGCCTCCATACCTTGTATACAACCCAGGGATAATAACACCCATCCTTGTGGGCTGCTGTGTGACCCAGGGACCAGCACGTAGGAAGTGCTCCATACATCTCTGTGGCACAGGGACGGGTACATCACATTTCACCCAGAAGCACGTTCAGAAGTGAGGAACATTTGCAGAATCTGACGGCGGCACAGATCTGGCTGGGGTCTGGCATGATCACCACATTTCTGGGTGGAGCTCACTGTCATCCTCTTGCTTCCAGTCTCTGTGTTAGACTGGGGTGAGGGTGTCGTGTGACTCAGCCAGCTGGCCTGTGCCTGTTTTTGAAAACCTGCTTTGTACACAGATCGAGAATCGCCATGCAGAGGGAGAGCAAAGCAGAACGAGATACATGATTTAGCCAGGGACACAAGACACGCACGTAATCATTAATTCATAGGGCACATATGTGAAGAGCCCTCCTCGCACATGCTGCATACAGCGTGCATCAACCAAATGTCAACTCACAGAGGGAGCAGAGGCACGAAGAGAGAAAGACTGGTCAGTCTGCAACAGGAAGGACACTGGAGACCATCTCCCCCGGCAAGATGCCACCTCGGCTGAAGGGGCACAAGGGACAGCCCCTCCAAGGACGGCTCTAGCCATGCCTCTGTTCCAGGCTCCAACACAGAACACCAAGGATAATCCCCCGTGGTTAATTGTTTTTTTCTATACTGGCTGGGGATTGAACCCAGGGCCTTCTCACCGAGCCACACCCTCAACCATTTTTATTTTGAGGCAGGGTCTGTTTCTAAATTGCCAGGGGCTGGGCTCTCAGTATTTAATATTTAATCCTCATTTGGTTTGGGGGCTGCAGCTCACCTGGGTTTGCCTTTATCTCACCTCTATGCATACGTGCTTCATGGGCAGGGGTGCTCGCTGTTCGGGACACTCACCCCAGGCTCAGTTCAAGGAGACTGTTAGAAAATGACTGATCCTCCCAGAACCGTGTACTTGGAAACCTTTAGCTGGTATGTGGTTCATGTAATTAACTCTCATCCTGTCCCTTCTTGACAGCTTTACAGTGTCTCCCCTTGACATCCACCCATGGGCTTATCAAAATGATGGTATCTCAGAATTTATGATTAGCTCCTTAGTAGGGGAGCTGCAACGAGGTCTTAAGAGTTAGCAGGGCACTGAGCTCATCTTGCCAGACTGTAGGCGAGGACTGTCCCTAAAAATGGAGTGGATGGACAAGAGATCCCCTCCCCACTGGCCCAGGGATGTGCTGCAAGGCCTGCGCTCCAGTGCTCAGCCTCTGCTGCTCTCTCCCACAAGTTTGCCAATCCTCAGTCCATGTGACCTAAGGCTGCTCTCCCTTTGTTTCTTTAGGAAAGACTCAGACACGCGCTAGCCTCATCTCATGATCTAAGGGACAGCAAATGTTTCCTGCAAATCCCAAGAGAGTAAATATTTTAGCTTCTGTGGGCCACTGAACTTGTGTTGCAGATGCTTAACTCTGCCATTGTAGTGGAAAAGCAGCCACAGATAATACATAAACAAATAAGTGTGGCTGGGTTCCAATAAAACTTTATTTACATGAACAGGTGGAGGGCCAGAATAATTCAGTGGCTGCAGAAAGACTGGACAAGACGTTGGAACCATAGACACTGGGCATGCCCTGTCCTTCTTTAGGATATCACAGCCGTCCATATAGTAAAGTTTGGGGCAGTTGGACTTCTCATGTCCAAATCCTGGATCCATGGTGGATTCCCCTGAGATTTCAAAGTAGAGGTTGGGAGACCAGGAGAAAATCTGCTGCAGAGTCAGAGTCCCTGCAGAGATTCTCCACTGGGAGAAGGCCTAGTAGAGCTGAGAGAGAGAGGAGTCGAGGTAGGGACCCCAGAAGGGTGGAGATGTTGGCAGGATGCCATGCCAGCCTTTCACAGGCACCAGCCAGAAGCCATCCACCACATGGCCTGCAAACAGCAAAGAGGTAAAGGGTGGGATATCGTAAGGTTTTGGTGAGGACAGCAGGGCAATGTGAAGGTCACTGGTACTGGGCCCTCTTGTGCTGACTGGTCTGTCTGGGCTGCACAGAAGCTCCCAGAAGGAGTGGGCTCTTGCTTCTCCTCAGTTGGCCTCCTTTTTCCTGGTCACTTCCAGGCTCCAGCCCCACCAGGCCCCAGTGGTACTGGTGAATGGATAATTCCCAGCGCTACTGGATGGAGTAGGGTACTTTCCTATTTTATTGCACTTCAGGTATGGAAAAACTCATTGGATAAAGAGCTCTGGGGGCTGCTCTTAAGCTTCATCCTAGGCAGCTAGGGACAATCTTACTCTCCTACCACAGGTCCCTCCACTTGATGAGGGACAGGGCAGGAAGTCCACTGTGGCTTATACATACTTGCATTACACCTGATCTGTCCCAGTTTAACAAAAGAGAAGGGGGATTAGGAGAAATTAAATAGAATTAAAAAAAAAAGAAATCTAGCTATAGTTTTTTAGGTAAAAGTTATTGTTCTGTTCCTTGCTTTTTAAAGTATACACTTATACAAAGCAGTAGGCCCTACTGGGCCATATTACTTTTCCTCCTCTTCTGGGTCCCTAACTATCAGTGTCCAGCCAGTCCGTAGGGCATCTCCTTTCTCCTCAGAAGGTCTTAGGTTCTCCTCCTGTGTGGCTCTGCCAGGGTGGGTAATGAGTGTCCACCACTGAGAGGGAGCAGGATTTAAGACCTGAGTTAACAGCCTCATTTCTTCTTGTCCTCTTGGACCCAAGGTCTAGAACTCCAAATCCAGCTGCAGGACACACTGCCACTCTTTGTTCAAGGTGTAGGACCCCAAAGAGCCTATTCTAACCAGGCCTGCAAAGAACTAAAGTGTATTCTATAGACTTCTACAAACTTTGACTAGTGTTGTGCCTTAGCCGACCCTGGGCTCCTTAGTCCAGGAGCAGGGGACACTGAAGTATATCGCCATGGAAGAAACAAGCCACAAAGGCAAAGTCTTGCTAACTTTTCATTAACCCTTGCCTTGTCTTCTCTCAGAGAGTCCCCTACAATGAGCCCTTTCCCCTCATCCTCATTCAGTGTCCCCTTGTGCCCCCAAATGGTTGGGTAAATACAACCAGCTTTCTTGTCCTTATGCAAAGCCTCAGGTCCAATGAGGAAGGGCAAGGGCTCCAATCAGGCCTTGTCTGACATGAAGACTTGGTAGTTGGCGGCTGGCTTGCAGTAGATGGCTGAAGACTGCAGACTGCCCCCCATGTGTACGGACAGGAGGGTGACTTATGCCAGCCAGGCGCCAAGGAGTTGCCACCTCAATGTCACCAGCAAGGCAGTGGTGGCGCTCCCTGTCCAAAGTCCTGTCCGTGGCGTGGTTCTGGCTGCAGCCATCCGCCAGGCGGAGGCTTCCACAGCCTCCTCCACATCCTGCCCAGGAGCCACCATCCTGATAAGCAGCACAGAAACCCCATTCTTCTGTCCCTGGCAAGCCTCGTTACCTCTGCCCTGCCCTGGCCCTGGGCATGGGGCTTCCAGCCCAACTGGTGCCACACCCTCTGGATTCTGCCAGGTCTTTCTCCAAAGGGTGCTGTCTCACTGGGCAACCAGGAAGCCTCTCCGGTACTTGGGCTCCTGCAGTCCAAGCAAGGGCTGGGACCACTGCCTCTCTGCCTTCCTACCTTCCTACATGCCCCTTCTTAACTTGGGTCTTCTCCCAGCATACAAACACAGAAAGTATGAGCCAGGCATGGGCCCGGCAATGTCTGCTTGCTTTGCTCTATGTCATGCATCTGTCCAATATCAGATAATCAGAGTGACCCTGAGGAAGAGCCCAAACCACCCCATGCCCTCCTCCTCATCTATATCAGCTCTGCAACGTGACCGACATCCACAGTTCTCACACCTGGCTGCCCACTTTGGTCAACATGGGGTGATGAACTGCAGCACAGGGCCCCATGTGAGCAGATTAAAGTCTGCGGCAGTGTTCAGAACCCCTGGCCTAAGATGTCATCAATGGGTAAGGGTGAGGCTGAAGTCACCACTATCTCAGGAGCCCCTTTTCCACCAAGCATACCAGGGGGCCACTAGCAAATGTATCTGGAGGCGGGGTGTTTCCTGCACATAAAGTCTGATTTGGGGAGCCATGGAGGGGGCCCCAGGCACTCCCTCCCCCTGCAGCCCTACTGTGCTCCCTGCCTCGGCCTCCAGCCCATGCAAAGGCACCATGCCAGCCCTTCCGGTCAGTTCCTTGAAGTTCTGGGAAGGGAAGGCTTAAATGAGAGGTTTCCTTTCCAGGATGGACTACAAAAAATTCCCAGCAGTATTTAAAAGCCAGAGTGAGCAAAACAAGTCCTCCACCTCGCCCTGCAGAGGACAGCGAAGCCCCTGTGTGCTGGGGTTTGCTCCTCCCCAGAACAGCACAGAGATGCCATTGCTACTCTGCGCCACAAGCAAGTGGGAGGGAGGGGAAGTGGGATGAAGGGCGCTTTACGGAGAGAAACCACAGCTGTCCCTTCCGCAACCAGCCAAGCCCCATGGAGACCTGTCACCAGACCTGACCCAGGGCAACTGGGAGGGGGTCTTTTGAGAAGGGGCGGGAAGGGGCCGGCAGGGAAGGAGAGGGGGGAGGCTGGGAGGTGGGGTTTATGGTGCAGCCCCAGGAGGCCTCCCTGGAAAGGTGAGCCATGGCTCTGCCAGGGTGTGCTCTGCGTTGGAGTTGAACTTGGCT